CGCGAATTACTGCCCAGGTTCAGACCTGCTGAGGACATTTATGATCACTGCAAAGACCCACGACCCTGCAGTGTCTACATGAAAATCCCCCGTAGCCCGTACAGCCACACAGGCTGTGAGCAACAGGACATCGTTTCTGACCACCATCTCCCTGTCTCTGTTATGACAAAAAGCACGGATTAAACTGGCTCCGAGCTGTCCGGGCTGACCCAACATGCGAGCTGGTGATCCGGAGAGAACGTTCTGAGTCAAGTTCGGGGGGAGCTCGTTCTGATGGAGTACCAGTTGGACATGTCTGTACCCGGTGTTATTCTGTTCCAGGTCTGATCTCACAGGTACTCGGGGACAGCTCTCATCTCTGAAGGGCTGATGCCAAATTTCAGGCACTGTAACACTGTACTACGCGGACAGAGCTCAGAAGCCTCTGCTACAAGCAGCTTTGTATCCTGGGGTGGTCTCCACACCACTCTTACGTGTTTGTTTTAATGTACAGAAAAGTTACGAGAGCAGCTCAGAAACACTGTCTTCCCCGGACCGCCAGCCAGTAAGTTGTCAACAGGATGTCCCATCGCTTGAATGTTTTGTGTGTATTTCCACAAACAAGGACATTGACCTCCACAACACAACCATCCACATCAGGAAATTAACACTGATACATTATTACCTTTAACTCTGGGACCCCACTCAAATTTCACTAAGTTTTCAGCTATAAAATAAAGAACTTATCACTAAAGTTTCCTCTAACATTCTAAGTGCCTGTCTCTGCCAGAGTCCTAGCAAATGCCCACCCACTAAATCCTGATATTCAACTTGGTATAGTCAAAAAAACCCTTCAAGTTTGAGTTGAAGTCCCCTCTCTGTCTCACACCTACGACTGACTGGCAGTGCATTCCTGGGGAGGTCACGTAGCCACTCCAAAGTCAACCTTCACGGACAGGCCTCTAGGAGCCCTGTGAATTTCACCCAGAGGAACCAACCCTCCTCGTCCAAAGCATGAGCTCAAACCAGTGCCATGCGAGGGCTGATTCAGTCAGTCGGCAGTGAGCCTGGCCTGGTCACTCAGGTGGGTTTCTAATGCCAGGTTTCTAATGGCCTAAGGTACGGTCACACTGGGACAAGTGCTCAAGGAGCAGACCTGGGGGGCAGGTCACTCTGGGCTCCAGATACCCAGGAAGTGGTCAGCAGCGGGCCCGTGTGCCTGGAACAGAGGTGACGGAAGAACCGGATCGTTTTGTGTGACTCAGCACCGGGACTTCGACTGAGCACACTCCCGCTCAGGCTGTGTGGGCTCCTGCTGCATCATGAAGTAGGCTGAAGGGAAATCTTTGGCAGAGACCTCCCTGGGAGCGGCTTCCTCATTTCCGAGATTCGGCAGCGTGCTTTAACACACCTGACCCACAGGACTGTGTGAGGCAGGCTGCACGTCCAGGCCAGACGGCAGCCCAAGAACACTCACCCCTGAGCGGAGAGCTGTGCCCTCGGAGCCCTTCGAAATACCCTCTGGGCGCTGCCGGCAGAAGGCTCTGAACAACTGCCCGTCCTCTGCGGCTAAGTTCTCTCGTACCAATGAGCACGACAAAGGAGAGAACTGACAGAGTTACCACGATCTGCAATTGCAGATAGAAACACATTTATAACACGGCACCTGCCAGGGAAATCTCAGCGTGGATGCAGGAGTTAGGAAGATTTCCACAGCAGAGCAAACCACGAAGAGGACGACACCACAAGGAGCTACCAGGAGTCAACATCTGCAGTGTACTTTCCAACGTTCCCACAGAGGTAACACCGGTGGGTAAGTTCCGCCGCCTGCACAGTGGGTCTAACTCAGACTGTGATCCTGACAGCACACAGGTGACGTCAGGCACATGCGGCTGTAAACACGCGACTCCACTCCTGCAGCGCCAGAGACCGCTGGGAGGTGGGGGCTGCAGAAAGTGCTCCCCCTCCTCTGGGCAACGATGCCATGTCAAGCCTGGCTGAGGAGACAAAGGCTCTCCACGTGGTGCTTCTCGCCAGGATGCCTCCTCCTCTTTGATTTTGCTCAAGAGGGCGATGAAAAACTCACGCCGAGGGAACAAGGCAGGGCTTTGGGGGAGCACGACAGACACATCAAAACAAACAAGGGGGCACAGCGCCGCGGTGACGGAAATATCGGCCTTCAGACTGAGTGTCACCTGGGACTCATAGATATGGATGTTCAACATACTATTTCATTTGTGTCTTTATAATACATATTGCCCAGTCCAGGCGTCTGCAAGGCCACGAGAGCCAGGCGGAGAGCTGTCCCCCTCGGAAGGGCGCTCTACCCGCAGCTCTGGAGGGCAGTGACAGCCACGGGAGAAAGCAAAGAGAAGCAAACTCTGAATCTATTTAAGGAAGAGCTTTCTAACAATCTGTGTTCTCCAAAAATGGAACTGGCTGGCTTAGAAGTAGAAGTGTTCCGGCAGAGCGGGGTGGCCATCTGTCGGGGCGGGCACTGGGCCCAGCACCCAGCACCAGGACAAGGACAGGCGGGGAGCCGGGCTCCCCGCTCTGAGAGCCCGCAGTGCGCGACCTCGCTGAACTGGCCACGCCTCTCGTCACAGCTCATGAAGAAACTAACTCCGGGTCAGATGTGGTTAACAGTTTCCATTTGAGGCTTTGCCTTCTCTCCTTCTGGAAACCGAAGGAGAAACGACAAGGCATTCTGGGAACTCCTGGCCATTCGGAGTGCCCGCTCTGCCTGCCTTACTTCTTGGTGTTTCATTCCATTTCTGCCATTTCATTCTGTACTGGGATCTCGAGAATATATTTTTTTAAAAATGAATAAGAAAGAAGACAAAACAAGTCAATAATGTTTAGTAGCTCCAAATTTTTTTTTTTTTAATCCCCACCAAAGGACATTTTTCCATTTTTTTGTTCGGATAGAGTGGGAGGAAGAGAGAGAGGGAGAGAGAGAGAGAAACATCGAAGTGAAAGGGACACATCGAGTGGCTGCCACCTGCACAACCCAACCAGGGCTGGAGACAAACTGCAACCAAGGCACGTGCCCTTAGTGGGAACCGAACCCAGGTCTCTCGGGACCACAGGCCAATGCTCTAACTGCTGAGCCAAACTGGCCAGGGCCCCAATTTTTTTTTTTTAAAGGCACTATGGTGAGTGAAAAGCTGAAATGGGGAAAAATAAAATTATGCTCAGGCACTTTTAAAGTATTTATGTATTCATGCTACCTACATTTCTTTACCATAGTCATTAGGAGTTATAAGCACAGGAAAACAGTGTTTCTTTCCAGTGCCTTGCTTGGAAAACAAAGATGAAGGGATGTTAGTTCAGTGGAGGAAGAATCATTGCTCGTGGAAAATGGACTCGCTACGCCAGGCTCAGAATCTCTGGCAGCTGGCGAGCCGCTTTGACTCCCACACGGGCCTGTGCTTTGTGTCTCCCTCCAGGTCACGGGCAAAACCTAATCCACAGCATAAAACACTACCCCCTGACGAAGGCTTTAAGTGGTTTTGAAGAGTTAGTAGACTTTTCAAGATTGCATTGAAATGAAAAACAAATATTTTGCAAAACCCACTATGTTCAGTGTATAATTTTCTTTCTAGCTTCCCACCTGTCACCCTTTCCCCTAAATGGGGAAAAACAAAAGGTCCTCTTATTAGAGATAAAAAGGAGAAACTCAAGTAAACATAACATGAGTGATGACACTGACTTATTTCAACAGCAAACTTTACGTGACGACGAGCAGCCTCACACAAACATGATACTCACATAAAGCAGCAGCAATTATTCTTTAAATGGCAGGTCAGGCCCGGCCGGTGTGGCTCAGTGGTTGAGCACTGCCCATGCAGCAGGAGGCTGCCAGTTTGATCCCTGGTCAGGGCACATGCCCAGGTTGTGGGCCCGATCCCCAGTGGGAGGCATGCAGGAGGCGGCCAATCGATGTTCTCTCTCATCAGTGTTTCTCTCTCTCGCTCGCTCTCCCTTGCTCTGTCTCTAAAATCAATAAAGAAAAATAAAAAAAATGACAGGTGATTTCAGTTATTCTTTTTTTTTTTTTTTATCCTCACCCGAGGACATTTTTCCATTTTTTGTTCAGGTAGAGTGGGAGGGAGAGAGAGGAACAGAGAGAGAGAGAGAAACATCGATGTGAAAGGAACACATCGAGTGGCTGCCACCCACACAACCAACCAGGGCCGGGGACAAACTGCAACCGAGGTACATGCCCTTAGCGGGAACCGAACCCGGGTCTCTCAGGACTGCAGGCCGACGCTCTAACCGCTGAACCAAACCGGCCAGGGCTCAGTTATTCTTTAGAAAGGCTCTCAAAGCTATTTTCTGAAGCAGTAATTACGCTAGTAAGTCTGATACGCATACAAAATACAAAGGCAAGGTTGGCCCTCATTAGCTTCAGGTGATTCAAGGTGGTCTTTCCCATCTCCCCCGACAATGGAGCAGAGAAAGGCACGTGGGGAGAAAGCTGGTTGAGAGGCTACCAGAGTGGAGCTCCCCCGCAGTCGCCACTGAGTGACCTCGATGGCCTTGGACAGTGCACTGGTGCCCACCCAACTGCCAACGCAGCTCACTGTCCAGGACTGGGGCACGATTGCCCCGGGCTCAAGGGCTCCTCGCTGTCCCCTCTGGGAGGAAAGAGCCGATGGAAGGACACAGGCAGAGCTGCTGAGACGTCTGGAGGTGTGACTGCACTCCGGGACCCTCTCAGGCTGTGCCAGGAGGGAGGACCGTGGGGGGTCCAGACATGCACGAGTGTCAACTTACATCCTCCTCCAAATTCGACATCTCAGGACATGACAAAAATGCTCTCTCTCCACCCTGGTTTCTTAATTTTCAGAGATTAAAACAAAACAAAACACTCGAAGGATGTCCACATATAAAACAGATTTTTTTTTAAACAAACTGTAAAGAGGAACACTCTCTCCCCCAAGAGCACCGAGCAGGTGTCCTTGCTCTCCACCGGGAAGCGGAGTGGCAGGACCTGGTCCTCTGCAGCGGGCACTCACCGAGCGTGTCCTTCAGGTTCTTGACCAGGGAGCCCTTCTTCAGGCTGTTCTTCCTCTCCACGTAGTTGGACGGCACATAGCCCGTCCTGTTGGCGGCATTCCGCACCCGCCACCACGTCTTCGAGTCGTCCAGCAGCCACAGGCGTTCGTTCTTCTTGATGTCGAGCTCCTGGTCCTGCTGGGCGGTGTAGTCCCACTTGGCTATAACAATGACTTCTTCTGTCATCTTTCATGGAGTCCTTCTGCCAGCAAAACATTTGGAGATGCTATTAGAGAACCAACCAAACACTTTATCCTCTGCATCAACTTGAAGTATTATCAACTGACAGCTCTTATTACAACTTGGCAACCGGCTTTCTCCTGCGTCTTGAAATACTCAACCCTAACATGACCTTCTCTCAATAAGCTTCACTATTGTTTAGAAACAGCAACCTTATAAAACAAATCTTAACTTTGCACACTGGGACTTCCGCATGCTCTGCCAAAGACAAAAACAAGCTTCCAAAAAAAATCTAAGCAACAATACAAAATGAAATGGGTTCATCGATGAAGCAGCACCAGCTCCTTATAGCTGAAAGGTTTATATCCACTTTCTTAGTATATGTTGAATTTTAAGAACGTATTTAATTTAAAAAACACACACCTGAACCCTTCCCATAAATTAAAATGAAAATAAATGTGGTATTAATGCAACATGGTACCTGCACTGGGTTCTGAAACACTGGTGAAAGGCAAACAAAGTCTAGTTACTGGCAATGTGCTAATGTCACTCTTAGTTGTGACCACTGTGCCATGCTTATAGAAGATGCTACTGTACTGGACGAAGGGTCTAGGTACCCAGCAATGCTGTCCACCTTTGTGACTCTCCTATGAACATAAAGTATTCTTGAAACCTGCACATGGGTGTTTATGGCAGCTTCCTTCATAACTGCCAAAGTTTGGAAGCAATCAAGATGTTTTTCAGTAGATGAATGGATAAATAAACTGTGGTCTGCCCTGGCCATTTCTGCTCAGTGGTTAGAGCATCGGCCCACAGATCAGAGAGACCCGGGTTCAATTCCACTAAGGGAACCTCGGATTGCAGTTTGTCCCTGGCCCCAAATGGGGTTGTGTGGGTGACAACCACTCGATGTGTCTCTCTCACATCGATGTCTTTCTCTCTTCCCCCCTCTCTCCCTCCTGCTCTATCTGAAGATAAATGCAAAAATGTCCTTGGGTGACAAAAAAAGAAATAAACAAACTGTGGTCCATCCAGATAATGGAATATTACTCAGTGATAAAAGAAAGGAGCTACCAAGCCCTGAAAACCCACGGAGAACCCTTCAGTGCGCACTGCTAAGTGAAAGAAGGCAATCTGAAAAGGCTGCACACTGTCTGATTCTCACAAAGACCCTCTCTTTGACCAAACTTGAGTCAGGCTTCTCTGAATCGCTTCCCTAACGAGGCCTTCACTTTGTACTTCCATATCCGTATATACATTGCTCAGTTTTTACAGGAATCATGCTAAGCTGGTTTGGCCAGAATCCTCCGCCCTCACCCAGGTGCAGCCTGGTCCCCTGGCCAGCCTTCAGGAAGAACCTGTCAGGTCAGTGCAGCCAGAATGCCCCCTATAAGGCTTCCTCCTGGGGACTGTCCATCCACTTGCCCCACTGCTCCTGGGCTGCAGGCTCCCACTGCTCCTTCCTGTGTTTGGGGTTGAGCCCAGCCTCTCTCCCCGACCGCCTGTGAACAGTCTGCCCTACCGTGCTTAACAAGTACCAAGGCTGACTGGTGGCATTCTGGAAAATGGCCACAGGAAGTTTCCAGGGGCACTGGGCTGGAGGGGGAGGGGTAGCTGGCAGGGCACACAGACCACAGGTCAGGGAAACTACTCTGCGTGGCACTCTAACAGTGAATACGATGTCATCCCACATTTGTCAAGACCCATACACAGTACAGTACCAAGAGTGAACTGTTCATGTACCTATTCTAAAATTAAAAGTTTACTAACACCAACAGGTAAACACAGCCTATCACATGTCCCGTGAAGTCAGATCTGAAGGCAGTAAGTAGCAGAGGTTTACCTGAATGACACCTGAATGATAACTGAATGTAACTACCAACGGTCTCAGCAGCTCCATGCTTCCAGGCAGAATATGGGCTGTATGTTTGTTTGTTTGTTTATTTATTTATTTTTTGTGGTACGTGCCCCTAGCGAGAACTGAACCCAGGACTCTGGTCCAGAGGCTGATGCTCAACTGCTGAGCCAAACTGGCCAGGACTGTATGTTATTTTATAGGGATGACTTCAAAATCACGGAGGCAACCTATGCACCTTGATGCTATGACGGTGTGAGAACCATTTAAAAATAATATTCTGCTAGATGCCATAGAAACTGATAAATAGGGCATGTTCTCCTCTTTCGTAAATTAAGTTGAAAATTTAAAGGTAATAAACCTTTCGTGAAGGAGGCCACGTTAATAAAGCTCATGTATAATGTATACAACAACCATTCTCGAAAGGTAGACAATTCTGTGATCTACTTCCAGAGAATCCCCAGTCCATACACGTGGCTCCATCCTGACCAAGCTTCCTGTCACGTTAGATTTGGAAAGTCATAAAGGTAATTTAAAAAACATAATAATGAGAGCAATAAAATGGGATTCAGAGATTATCCCATTTAAAATCCGGGTTTGTTTCTTAATTTACAATTTTTAAAAGAGTTTTTAACATGAACAGCCCAATCAAAGCAATGTGTTCGTTCCCTGCGTGACTTGGGGGAGGGGCTGGCGGCGTCTGCTTCCACGCACTCGGACGTCACGCGGGCCGTGGGGAACACCGAGCCTGGGCTCCCACAGACCCATGAGCAGCACCCCGGAGTGGCCTGCGCATCAGTTCCCACAGCCTGTGATCCCAACAGCCCTGGGAAGAAGGGAAGAACCCAACCAGAGGGAACTGAGGCACAGGCTGCACGCCTGGTCACCAGACCCGTGGCCTGGAATGAACCCCACGTCCAGTCTAAGAAAGAAACGCTGCGTGTGCGCCGGTAGCTGTCCCCGTGCAGGAGACAGGGTCACAGAGATGGCGGGACGTGGTCGGCCAGGGCCGGGATCTGAGCCCAGGCCTGCCGACTCCCACGCTGTGCTGTGCTCGCTCTGGGTGGGCGGGCGGTGAGGGTCAGGTGCGGCCGCGTGGTGACAGACTTATTCCAACCCAGGGGACCTGTGATTGCAGGACAGGTGAACGCTGAAAGCTCCTAGGAAAGAACGGTAGCTCCTTGGCCACAGCAATGGGTTTTGAACCTATTCTAAGTGATTTACGGCGGCTTCCCATCAAAATTAAAGCTTCGGGGGCCTGCCACCAACCAGCCCTCGCTCCGGGGAAGTCGGCGATCACCAGGCGCTTCACCCCAGTACTAAGGACGACGAGCGGACAACAGCTCCCACCCCAATACAGCCACCTATCAACACCCGGCTCACTTCTGCACTTCTAACCGTCGGCCAATCACAGCCACCCACTGCGTAACAGGTCAACCAATCCACGGACACTTCCGCTTCTGAAACCCAACCAGTACCCGACCCCGTATTTCCCCTAAGCTCCCCGCAAAGGAGCACGTGTGCAGGAGCCTGGGGCAGGAACACATTACGTAGCAGAACTAAGAACACAGGACTCCAGAGAGTAATTTTAAGTTAAAAGTAAACAGGATACTATTTCTGGATGTTTGCTTCTTTAAAGCCATTTCAGTGTGAAGTAGAGCACCCTCCCCTCGCCCACACCAGCACCCTGTATTCCTGCTCACACTTACTCTTTCTTCTCTCCGCCAACAGGGGCTGGAAAGGCTGGGGAGGCCCCCTCTGGAGGGAGCTGCATGGCGGGCAAGGGGGCGGATGTTACCCGAGACCTTGGGAAATGTTTCTAGCAATCAACTTTCTTTGTAAAAACCACCCTGTTAACTGCATCTCGCCAGGTTATGGCTGGGTTACATACTCCTCATACTAGCTGGTGTTCCTACAACATCCAGAAACGGTCCCAGATACTTCCACAGGGGTCTCGGGGGTCAAGCTGAACCACTTGGTCGTAATAACAAATGCAGGGCAGGAGTCAAGAATCTGGGATTCTAAGCTGAGCTGAACCACCTGTGTGTCCAGCTTGGACCCCAGCTTATTCTGTGACATGGGACTGACCATTCTTGCATTGCCTAGCCTCCCAGGGGCTCAGGAGCCACGTGATGACGAGGTGCTGGAGGGGGTGGGGTTCGGTGTCACACAGACACGGTTGGAGCCCTGTTATGTGGTCTTAGCCCAGCCGCCTTCCATCACAGGGGCAACTGCACTCCGTGAGGAAGGCCCTGTGCACACCACCCCGCACAGAAAGGACGCAGGATGGGAACCACAGTCCTCACTGACCCCTCTGCACTCACAGCCACTTTATAAAGGTGAGTGGGCTGTGCCCTACAAACCCTTCCTCCTGCCGGGGTTACAGGGCACTGACCAGCAGCAGCCAGTCGTGCGAGGCACAGGGCTCCGTGGGGAGTGGGACGGCCAGGTGTGCTCTCTGTGACTCCAGCCCTAGGCGAGGGAGCACCTCCCTGTAGACACCAGGCTGGTGGCAGGTGGCTCCAGCAGCAATGGGCCACGGATGAGGAATTATGCCCAGGCCAGTCCAGAAAGGGAATCCTGTCTGGCCTTTCCCTCACTATGACAATGTTTTCCTCTCTTGGAAATATTTACTTATAAATGTTTTCAAATAGTGCATTTGCCTTAGGAGATATCAAAGAAGCAGTCTCAGAAGCGACTAAAATACCCTACACGTTCTTTACTGAAGTTTCCGGTTGTGTGGCAGGTGAAAGGCTGCCAGATGCCAACGAGGTGGCAGGAGTTGGCAGGAACCCGTGGCTTCCTGTGGGGCACACCGAGGCCAGCTGGTGGCTCTTCACAAGCAGAGCCACTAATCACAGCTGATACACTTCTGTAGGACACGATACAGAATCCAGTGGCCGTTCCAGCGCTGAGGATGCTCAGTAAGCTGTGACAGCAAGGTCTTCCTACTCCCGAAGGCACCAAGATACACCACACGTAAAAGAGAATATAAACCTTAGTGCTGGGCTCAACACAGGACTTTTCCATAGAGAGGGAGGAGCCAACACCAGCTGCTGCCATGGGGCTCGGGGGCACCCGGCCACACACGGGAAACCAACATTCACCCGGTGTCCTGCGACAACTGTCTACACGGGTTAGCGCATCGGCTGTTCACCACAAACCTC